TGGACTGTTACTCTCTTTTGCTGTTGCTCTGGTAAAATATCTGAGGTAGTGCTGGCTTCGGCAGCACATGCACTAAAATTGGAAGGATACAGAGAAGATTAGCATGGCCCCTGCGCAAGGGTGACACGCACATTCGTGAGGCGTCCATGTTTTTAAGAGAGGACCCTAACTAAAATGTTCAGTCCCCATCCTGAAAGGCAAAGAGGACGGACATCAGAAGAAGAAGAAAATAGGAAACAACCTGGAAACCTGCTACAGAGGGCCTCTGAAAGCCAGAAGAAAACAGGAAACAACCTGAAACCTGCCACAGAGGGCCTCTGAAAGCTTCTGCAGTATAGACTGTCAAAGCAGATGCTGAGCCTGATGGCCAACTGATGGGCAGAGTGAATGGAATTTTATGTAAGAAGTGGGAAATAGTAAGAGCTGGAGGGGACGGGAACTCCACAAGGAGAGCAACAGAACAAGATAATTTGAACACAGGGAACTTCCCAGAGACTCACACTCCAACCAAGGACTATTCGTGGAGATAACCTAGAACCCCTGCACAGGTGTAGCCCATGGCAGTTCAGTGTCCACGTGGGTTACATAGTAATGGGAAGAGGGACTGCCTCTGACATAATCTGATTGGCCTGCTCATTGATCACTTCCCCCTGAGGGGGGAGCAGCCTTACCAGGCCACAGTAGAGGACAATGCAGCCACTTTTGATGAGAACTGATAGACTAAGATCAGAAAGAAGAGGAGAACCTCCCCTATCAGTGGACTTGGGGAGTGACATGCATGCAGAAAGGGGAGGGAGGGTGGGGTCGGGAGGGGAGGAGGGAGGGGCTTATGGGGGGATACAAAATGAATAAAGTGTAACTAATAAAAAATGAAAAAAAAATGAAAAAAAAATCTGAGGTAACTGGAGGGAGGAAGAGTTTGCCCCGGCTCCCGGCTCAGGGGTACCCAGACCCATCAGGGGGCACTGGCTCCTGTCTGGCATCGAAGGCCGCTTGCCCACATCTTGGTGTATCAGGACAGAGAAAAGGCAGCACAAGATCTGCTGGCCTTCTCCTCTTCCCCGTTCACTCCAGGCCTGTTTCCCAGCCCACGAGATGGTACCAGCCACTTTCAGGGAGGGTCTTTCTCCTCAGTTAATCCTCTCTAGAAACCCCCTCACAGGCACACCTACAGGAGTACCTCACTAATGTCCTGGGCATTTATTAATCCAACCAGGTTGACAATTAAAATTAACTAGGATGGTCCCAAAACAGGACATTCTCATCCTTGTAAACTTGGCTGGAACTGAGGTAGGTAGCAGGAAGAGGCAGGTCCATTCTTGAAATTTCAGAGCAGCATGGCTTCAGCCTGGCTTAGGGAGAAGCACCCACCAAAGGGTAGAGCAGACCAGACAGATTGAAGGTGGGAGGGCCTGAGACAGGACTGGAGAAGCTCCGCCTTTGCTTCCTTTCTAGGGCTGGAGGGCAATTGAATGGTAGGATCCTCTCTGGGTTTACCAGCCAGACACTCAGCTGCAGCATGAGTTCAGTGAGCCAGTAAAGGTAGCAAGGGCTGTCAGTTCCAAGGGATGCTGAAGAGGACCCTGCAGGAGTTCAGGCAGTGAAACGAGGTGTGAAGAGATGAGGACAAAACCTTGGTCAGACTGACTTCATCAACCTGGATTCAGACTTTGGGGAGTCTGATGCCAGATGTTTTATTGTCAGCATATTTAAAATACAATGGAATTTGGAAAAAAAGTTTCTTGGTGTAATATAATCCTCAGGGCACAAAAAAGCATAATTATATCAAAACTCAACTCAGAGTACATGTCAGTTTCTTCAAAAAAGATGGGTTCTAGAGATAGGCTGCATGTGCTAGCTTAAGGGCCTAGGAAAGGCTCTGGCCTAGTCTTGGTCATATAGATAGTGTAGAGGTTGTTTGGGCTGGTTGTGGTCCTGGTTGTGGGAGCTTGGGGACCCTGGCTACAAGGTTCATTTAGGTTAGTAGCCAGCTCTGGTCCTGGGTATAGGAGCTTGATATGGTCTGACCCAACAGACAATGCAGATCAACACACTATTCCCCATTTCCAGTTCCCAGGCTTTTGGATGGAAGGATAGGTTTTACATCTTTTCCACTGGAAAGACAAAGCTGCGTGCTCAACCTTCCTGGTTTCTCCGGAAATCAGCGAGATCAGCGGGCGCAAGGACCTTCACGCTGTGCTCCCAGCAGGATGCCAGACATGGCTGTGCTGAGCGGGGAGGCAGGGTGCTTCCGGTCAGGGAATCCCCTGCAACAGGAGCAGCTATTTCCTTGGCCCTGCTGTTAGGCTGCCGCCCTGATTCCAACATCACCTGTCATTCAGCCTCAGCTCACAGGGAGGCTAGGCCAGCCTCCCACCCCGTGGCCAGAGCTCTTATCAGTTTTTACGTAAGGTATAAGCCACACCTCTCTGTTGAAATAAGTTTTTTCTTCTAAGCCTACTCTAGCTCCCAAATATGACACAGCGACCCGTTACATTTATAATAAGCTTCAAGCACCATATTGGGGCAGATACCGACCTGTTCTAACTGGACTATGCTGTCCTGGCTACTCCCCAGCCATGTGCCCTGTTGCCAGTCCTCTGGTCTCACCCTGGCCGCCCCTGCACCATATTTGGCTCCCCCATGGCGACTTCCTTCTCGCAGGTCTCATAGCTACATCCTCATGGCTCTTTTGTGGTCCATGCCTGAGACCCCTTCACCCCAAGACTGGCAACTAGTGTCCCACCTTCCTTTTCCTCTTCCCGGTAATTGGCTGTCAGCAACTTTCTTAACCAATCAGAGATAATTGGGGAGCAAAGTTTATACAGCATTGATCACTGACTGTGACATCGGGGCTGCTACCAGATCTCAGGACCCAGAATTCAGCATCTGAATACACAGAACACCAGACCAACCCCCAACACCTCTTCATGCCTTTCCCAACGCAAATGAGAACTGGATTCAGTGATGAGAAGTGGAAACTTCCAGAAAACAGATTTCTGGCCATAGACTGTGTAGAGTTCTGACCAGCCATCAAATCACCCATTTATTTATCATCCTTCCAGTCATCTACTGAGTTTTCTCTCCAACTAGCTCCACTGTTCCTATTCCATAGCTGTTTACCCCTTCACCGTCTACCCAGCCATTCATCTATTGTCCCATCATTTATACACCTGTTGACCTTTCATTCATTTTTCATTCATTGTTTCTCTGCCCATTCATTGATCTTCTGTCCATCCATTAAACAATTTATACGTTTCCACTCATTATGCCGTCTGCTTCTCTTTTACTCATGCATCCAACTGTTTATCTTCCACCCATCCATGTTTATGTATTCATTTATTAGTCATCTATCAATCTTCCATTCATCTATTTTTCCATCCATCCATCCATCCATCCATCCATCCATCCATCCATCCATCCATCCAATTATTTGTGCCAACTCCTTCATTTCCTCATTCTTTTTCTTCTTTCCTCTTCACCTTTCTCTTTTCTACCTTCTGAGAAATATTTGTTTAGAGTCTGTTATATACCGGGTTTCTTAGATTTAGCAGGCCTCTTCAAAGCAAAAAAGTTTCTCAGAAAAAAACTTACTCTTTCACTGAGACCTTAAGCATCTTCTTCATAGGGAACTCTCCTCGTGATTCCAGGGATGGAGAGAGGAATAAAGAGTAAAGAGAGGAGGAGAGACAAAAGCCTGGGTCAGCTGCTGCTGAGCCGCCTGCTCTATGTGTGAGATGCCCAGGCTGCAGGAAGCCTGGAGCAGAACCCAAGCCTCACGTTTAACAGCGTGACTCTCTAAGCTGCTTTCCTAAGGTTCTAACACCTGAGATGATGTGAGGACATTCTATTGCAGTGATGTCCTAGATGCCAGGCTCCTGTTCCTCAGTCTGTATTCTTCACCATAGCCAGAGGGGTCTTTCTTTTGTATATATGTTTTCATGTGTATGTACATGTACATGAATGACTTTAGAGGCCAGAGGTCAATGTCCAGTGACTTCCTCAATCACTTTCCACTTTATGTTTGAAACTGGGAATTTCAATGGACCTGGAGCCCACTCTTTGCCAGTCTGAGTAGCCATGACACCCACAGATCCTCCTGCCCCTGCCTCCCTGGCAGGAGTATAGGCGCCTGCCGGTGTACCTGGCCCTTACATGGGTTCTGGAGAGCTGACTTTCTCACGCGTATGTGGCAAGCACTTTACAGGCTGAAATATCTTTCTAACCCTGAAGAGTGCTCTGAAGTGCCCTGCCTGAACCCACAAGAAGAGGTAAAAGTCCTTAAGATGATCCAAGAAGACCCTCATCACCGGACACCCAATGCCTCTTTAGATCCACATACAGCACCTGTCACATATGTTATGTGCTTAGGACCAGAGCTCTCTACAGCTTCCCACCCCCAGAGTGCCCACCCCTCAGTCAGCACCCCGCCACTCCGCATCTCCCACCCCCAGAGTGCCCACCCCTCAGTCAGCAC